GTCGGGGGGGCAACCCCCAGGGTGGGGAAGGAGGTTTGGAGCACAAGTAACATCTCCTGGAAGGTAGGCAGGATCCGCCCATGCTCTTCTCACTCACATCCTCCTCTTTCTGCTCAGGGAATCTGGATCCCTGATGGGGAGAATGTGAAAATTCCAGTGGCCATCAAAGTGTTGAGAGAAAACACATCCCCTAAAGCCAACAAAGAAATTTTAGACGTAAGCCCCTCCAACCTCTCCTGCTGGGAGGACAGCAAGGACCCCATGGCTGCAGGTCTGGGCTCTGGTCTCTCTTCACTGGGGTTTGGGGAGATATGACTCCCTCAAACCTAGACTCTTTTTGGAGACAGAGTCTTGCTCTGTCACCCAGGCTGGAGTGCAGTGGCCCGATCTTGGCTCACTGCAATCTCCGCCTCCTGGGTTCAAGCAATTTTCATGCTTCATCCTCCTGAGTCGCTGGGATTACAAGCACCCGGCTAATTTTTGTATTTTTAGTAGAGACGGGGTTTCACCATGTTGTCCGGGCTGATCTTGGAGCCTTCATAGGCTGTGGCTTGTGACGGTTGGGAGGCTGTGTGGTGGGTGGGGGTGTGTGGTCCCTGTACCCTCTCAGCGTATCCTTGTCCCCAGGAAGCATACGTGATGGCTGGTGTGGGCTCCCCATATGTCTCCCGCCTCCTGGGCATCTGCCTGACATCCACAGTACAACTGGTGACACAGCTTATGCCCTATGGCTGCCTCTTAGACCATGTCCGGGAACACCGAGGACGCCTGGGCTCCCAGGACCTGCTGAACTGGTGTGTGCAGATTGCCAAGGTATGCACTTAGGGCACCTGGGCTCTGCGCAGGTCACTTTGGAGCAAGCTCCTGTATCCACATGGGGCTAGGAGGGGGACGCTTGCTGGGCATGTGGCCAGGGCCAGGCCCTCCCAGAAGGTCTACCTGGGTGCTTCCCATTCCAGGGGATGAGCTACCTGGAGGATGTGCGGCTCGTACACAGAGACTTGGCTGCTCGGAACGTGCTGGTCAAGAGTCCCAACCACGTCAAGATTACAGACTTCGGGCTAGCTCGGCTGCTGGACATTGATGAGACAGAATACCACGCAGATGGGGGCAAGGTTAGATGAGGGAGCAGGGGAGGCAGGGTGGAGTGGGTCTGGCCCCTGGGAGGACTCTGAGTGGCCACCTCCCCACCATATCCAGCTGAAGGACTTCCTCTTCTGCCCTCCAGGTGCCCATCAAGTGGATGGCATTGGAGTCCATTCTCCGCCGGCGGTTCACCCACCAGAGTGATGTGTGGAGTTACGGTGTGTGGTGGGGAGGGGTGGGTAAGGAGCCCTGGCTGGAGGGAGGATGAGAACTGGGATGGGGAGAATTTTAGGGCCACCTCAGCATGTGGAGGGAAAGAAGCAGCTGCCTGTGCCCCGCCTTGCAGGGTCTATGCACTAACCAGAATTAGAGAACGACCGGGTAGGTTCTGTCTCCTGACTTCACATCTCCCCCCGTTGCCATGGTGCAACGGTCCTGGGCAGAACCTCTGGCTCAAGACACTAAAGCTCCTGCTGGCCCTCCCACCCCTGACCCTGTCTCTGCCTTAGGTGTGACTGTGTGGGAGCTGATGACTTTTGGGGCCAAACCTTACGATGGGATCCCAGCCCGGGAGATCCCTGACCTGCTGGAGAAGGGGGAGCGGCTGCCCCAGCCCCCCATCTGCACCATTGATGTCTACATGATCATGGTCAAATGTGCGTGGCTGAGCTCTGCTGGCCGCTTGGAGGAGGGTTGGAGGTCCCAGGTGGAGGAGCCCACAAGGGGCATGGGAGGGAACCAGGATGTATGTTGACCCAGGAGCTCTGGTATTTTAAAAGGAGCCTCAAAACCTCGTATCCCTTTTATGGTCAAAGTCCAGAGCCACTCTAGAGGAACAACCAGAGAACCTACTGTACAAAATTAAGCTGGGCACAGTGGCTCATGCCTGTAATCCCAGCACTTTGGGAGGCTGAGGTGGGAGGATCTCTTGAAGCCAGGAGTTCAAGACCAGCCTAGCCAACATAGTGAGACCCCGTCTCTACAAAAACTAAAAAAAAATTTGCTGGGTGTCATGTGTGCCTGTAGTCCAAGCTACTCGGGAGGCTGAGGCAGGAGGATCACTTGAGCCCAGTTTAAGGTTGCAGTGAGCTATGATTGTGCCACTGAAATCCAGCCTGGGCAACAGAGCAAAAAAAGAAAAAAAAAAAAATTAAAAGGGAAATTAGTAGAGGTGCCCAAAGTTCTGGCCGAAGAGTCTAGTACTACTTCTTTACCACCCGGGGCTGTCCCCTTGGGACTGTCTAGACCAGACTGGAGCGGGAGAGGGAGGGGAGAGGCAGCAAGCACACAGGGCCTGGGACCGGCATGCTGACCTCCCTCCTGCCTCAGGTTGGATGATTGACTCTGAATGTCGGCCAAGATTCCGGGAGTTGGTGTCTGAATTCTCCCGAATGGCCAGGGACCCCCAGCGCTTTGTGGTCATCCAGGTACTGGGCCTCTGTGTCTGCTCCCTGCCTATGGCTAAGAGCACCCTCCTGCAGAGGGTGGGAAGGGGAGATGACTCCAGCGTGCCAGACCCCTCACGGAAGGCTGCATGCTGGGCTGGGGAGGGGCCGCCATCCCTCTTCTCCTTCCCCTGCAGAATGAGGACTTGGGCCCAGCCAGTCCCTTGGATAGCACCTTCTACCGCTCACTGCTGGAGGACGATGACATGGGGGACCTGGTGGATGCCGAGGAGTATCTGGTGCCCCAGCAGGGCTTCTTCTGCCCAGACCCTGCCCCAGGTGCTGGGGCCATGGCCCACCACAGGCACCGCAGCTCATCTACTAGGGTCAGTGCCATCGGTCACACTGTGTGGCTGTTTACTTCCCCCAACCCCAGTGGACTAGGGTCCCTTTCTCTGATGTTCCCTCAACTGTCACCTCTCATGGAGACCCCATTATCCCTACAAAAAATTCTTACCACCTTCCAACCTCTGTGACCCCATTCTCTCCACGGTGACTGTGTCATGTCCCAAAGGTGACCTCTGTTTTTCTTCTATGACCTTGTCACCTCCCATGGAGTCCCCATCCCAGATCCATGAGTGATCCCCATCATGACATTTTTTCTTGTCCCCAGAGTGGCGGTGGGGACCTGACGCTAGGGCTGGAGCCCTCTGAAGAAGAGGCCCCCAGGTCTCCACTGGCACCTTCCGAAGGGGCTGGCTCTGATGTATTTGATGGTGACCTGGGAATAGGGGCAGCCAAGGGGCTGCAAAGCCTCCCCCCACACGACCCCAGCCCTCTACAGCGGTACAGTGAGGACCCCACAGTACCCCTGCCCTCTGAGACTGATGGCTACGTTGCCCCTCTGACCTGCAGCCCCCAGCCTGGTATGGAGTCCAGCCTCAGCTGAGAGACTTATGGGCGGGCGAGGTGGGGACCCTCAGTCCAGGGTCCACTGTGGGGGCAGAGGGAGTAGCAGGGACACTGGGGCTCCTCCCCCTAACAGGTCCTCTTCTCTTGCCCTTTTAGAATATGTGAACCAGCTAGATGTTCGGCCACAGCCCTCTTCGCCCCGAGAGGGTCCTCTGCCTCCTGCCCGACCTGCTGGTGCCACTCTGGAAAGGCCCAAGACTCTCTCCCCAGGGAAGAATGGGGTCGTCAAAGATGTTTTTGCCTTTGGGAGTGCTGTGGAGAACCCCGAGTATTTGGCACCCCGGGGAGGAGCTGCCCCTCAGCCCCACCCTCCTCCTGCCTTCAGCCCAGCCTTCGACAACCTCTATTACTGGGACCAGGACCCATCAGAGCGGGGGGCTCCACCCAGCACCTTCGAAGGGACCCCTACAGCAGAGAACCCAGAGTACCTGGGTCTCGACGTGCCAGTGTGAACCAGAAGGCCAAGTCTGCAGAGGCCCTGATGTGTCCTCAGGGAGTGGGGAAGGCCTGACTTCTGCTGGCATCAAGGGGCAGGAGGGCCCCCTGGCCACTTCCAGGGAGGCTTGCTGTGCCGGGAGCCTCTCCTAAGGAAAATTCCTTCTGCCTGAGTTCCCAGGTGGCTGGAAGGGGTTCAGCCTGGTTGGAAGAGGAAAAGCACTGGGGAGTCTTGGTGCATTCTGGAGCCCTGCCCAATGACTCTAGAGCCCAGTGGATGCCATGGCCCTGCCTGGCCCTTTCCTTCTAGATCCTGGATACTGGAAGCCTTAGGGAAGCTGGCCTGAGAGGGAAAGCGGCCCTAAGGGAGTGTCTAAGAACAAGAGCGACGCATTCAGACTGTCCCTGAGACCTAGTACTGCCCCCCATGGGGAAGGAGCAGCAATGGTGTCAGCATCCAGCCCTTGTACAAAGTGCTTTTGTTTAGTTTGTACTTTTTTTGTTTTGTTTTTTTAAAAGACGAAATAAAGACCCAGGGGGAGAATGGGTGTTATATGGGGGGGGGTGAGGGGGTCCCTGGGGTTGGGGGAGGGATGGCCCTTCACACGCACTTTCTCCATTTGTAAATGTATTTCGGAAACTGCTGGGCACCCGCCTATGTTTGGGGGTGGCTCTGCACCATCTCTTCCTGCTCACCTTACACTCAACTCTTTTCCTGGAGGGAGTGGCTGGGAATCTTCAGGAAACTTGGATGATGAGGCACCTCATATCCAGTTCCCCAGCTTCAGGGTTGGGGGGAGATTGGGAAGCTCGATTTGGATCTGAGAGTCCTTTGATGACCAGATCATTCTTAGAACAAACTAATTCCTAAGGCCACTCACCAGAATGGGGTTGTTTCCTCCTTGTGGGAAAGGAGGGTAGGGTGGGGGCCGTATCTATTGTGGGACTCTCTTTCCTTGCGTTGGCTATACCAGAGGAGCTCACTGACCTAAGGAGTAGCTGTCCAGAAAAAGTCCACCCAGCCGGCACAGCCACCCTGGCGGCGCAAAGGCTGGGCTGGCCTGATTTCTGTGCCCCACCACATTCCTAGACTGGACATATAAAAACACATACTAGTTAGCATTAGTGTTGGTAGTGCCACTTTATTGCCAATAGCTGACACTGCAATGGACTAGGGGAGAATAAATAAGATCTACCGTGACATGGTACAGGTATTACCAAGCTGGAGAGAGGGCTGGGCTTGCGGGGGCACTTATCCTGGGAAGCGGGTATAAGGTGGCTGGGGAAGTGTCCGTGGAGAGTATCTCTCTCCTGCCCCCAACACCATGGAATCTTCTATTCCTTCTGTGAACTCAAAGGGACAAAGTGGAGGCCAGGGTCTCTTTGCTAAGGAGCTAAGTACAGGAAAGTGGTAGGGGGAGCTCCCAGCAGGACCACAGGGGAGACCAAGACTCGAACCCCAGAACAGAGCAGGAACCCAGTCTGTGCAGTCACAGGATGATGCAGGGAGGACGGCTGTTGGTGATCTTTTCTAGGGGTTCTCCGTTGCTGGCTCTTCGGATGGCCTCAATGAGCTAGCGGATAGAGATGCAGAATGGCGGGATGCGCTGTTGGGGTAGGTGACCCAGAGGTCCTCCCAACACTGCAAATACTTACATCTTTCTCATAGGGAAAGCCCCCATTCTCCAGCTTGGAGAACACCAGTTGTCCATTGATCTCTATCTCAAAGGTGCCTGGTAAGAAATCAACAGATGAATAAATGGTACACTGAGAACACAGGCAGAAGTCAGGAGTTCCTCCAAAGGGGTCCTCTGACCACACAGGCTTTTTCAAGTCCCCCATCAGTCCCACTGGATACTCATTTGTAGCTCCTTAAGCCACTCCCCCACCCTGAGCCAACTCCAGGGAACCTGAGGGAGGCCTCACCTGTGTGTCCCCAACAATACTCAATAAAGGACCCCTCCCCTCCAACTCTGCACGATTACAGTCTAATTGATTTTTCTCTACAGGCTTCCTCTGTGACCCCCCTGACCTATGGAAGGGAGCTCATGTTGGCTGGACATTTTCCCAAATGCTAGGCACTGCGGGCACTTTACATAAAGCAGCCAATTTCAGAGCTAGAAAGCGGGAGAGCTGGGATTTAGAGCATAGACTGACTCAGCACGTGTTCCGCGAGCCTCACCTGTGCCCCCCAGGCGCGACTCGATCTCAATGCCCGGATACTGCTCCTTCACAGCACTGGCCAGCTCCAGGTAGGTCGCCTCGAAGCCGCAGGGTTCACTGGGGAGAAGAGATGGGGCTGGGCTGGGGATTCGGGGGTGGGGCCTCCCGTGGACCAACCTCCGTCCAGCCCGCGGGACCAGGTTGCGGGCCCTCCAGCCGGAGCCACTCACCAGTACTCCACCACGATGTGGACTCCACTGCCCGGCTCGACCTCCCCGGGAAGGGGCGCTACGGACGTCTGCGCTGGCTCCCCGCTCATTGCTGCCGGCTCCTCGCGGGGCCCTGCTTCCGGGTGTGACGCTCGCCGCGGGCACGTGACGGGGCGGGGCCTCTGGAGCGGGGCGGGGCCGAGCGTGGCCTCTGGGCGCCCCCTGCAGGCCTCGGCCACTGCTACGTTTTGACCTCGTAACGCGGCTCCGGAGCTCACACCCTGTTTAGCGGCTGGGAGGACCGGTCCGGACCCTACTTCCCTGGCCCGGGCTCCCGGAGTACCGGGTTTCCCCACTCCAGGTGTCCGCCGGACTTTATAACTTCATTTACTCTAATGGACAATCTCAGACTGCAAAGCACTTTTTAGTTTACAAAAGAAAGAGAGAAAGTGGTGGGGCAGCCATCCTGGGGATGGGGGCGGGTGTGGCTGATGTATGAAATAGCTGACATTTTCTCTCTAACATGCTGATGACACTTGTTTGTTTTGAGACGGAGTTTCGCACTTGTTGCCCAGGCTGGAGTGCAATGACATGATCTCGGCTGACTGCAACCTCCGCCTCCAGTTTCCAACGATTCTCCTGCCTCAGCCTCCTGAGTAGCTGGGATTACAGGCTTGTGCCACCGTGCCCGGCTAATTTTGTATTCTTAGTAGAGAGGGTTTCACCATGTTGGTCAGACTGGTTTCGAACTCTTGACCTCAGGTGATCCACCCACCTTGGCCTCCCAAAGGGCCGGGATTACAGGCATGAGCCACCGTGCCCGACTCAGTATTTATTTTTATTTTTTTAGTGGAGACAGGGTTTCACCATGTTGGCCAGGCTGGTCTTGAACTCCTGACCTCAGGTGATCCACCCACCTCGGCCTCCCAAAGTGCTGGGATTACAGGTGTGAGCCACCAAGCCTGGCGATGATGGCATTTGAAACCACCCTGTAGTTATATAAACAAGTGTTTCTGACCCCAATGCTCGAAACTGCTTTTTCCAGTCTCACAACCACCCCTTCCTGCACTGGAGAACCATAAATGCTCTTCAAGCTCTGTGCCCCGTCAGTTCCTGCGCATCCCCTTCTCATCCCAGCCTCTCACTTCGGGGCTAGTGTCATTATTCTCATTTTGCAGCTCGGGAAATGGAGGCTGCCCAAGTCCTCAATGCCTTTTCCCTGCCTGCAGTACCACTGTAGTATTCTAACACACCACACACTCTAGTGCCCCTTTAGGCTATTCAATTATTATTATTTTTTTTTTGAGACAGAGTCTCGCTCTGTCGCCCAGGCTGGAGTGCAGTGCACCATCTCGGCTCATTGCAACCTCTGCCTCCCGGGTTCAGGCGATTCTCCTGCCTCAGCCTCCTGAGTAGCTGAGATTACAGGTGCCAGCCACCATGCCCAGCTAATTTTTGTGTTTTAATGGAGATGGGGGTTTCATCGTATTAGCCAGGTTGGTCTTGAACTCCTGATCTCAGGTGATCCACCCACCTGGGCCTCCCAAAGTCGGCCGTAGTGGCACCATGCCTATAATCCCAGCTATTTGGGAGGCTGAGGCATGAGAATCACTTGAACCCAGCAGGCAGAGGTTGCAGTGAGCTGAGATCGTGCCACTGCACTCCAGCCTGGGTGACAGAGTGAGACTGTGTCTCAAAAAAAAAGAAGGAAAGAAAGAAAGAAAATTCAGTGATTTGTACAGTTGCCTAACCATGACTACAGCCCAATTACAGAACGTTTCTGTCAACCTGATAAGTTTCCTCCTGCCTGTTGCTGGTCAATCTGTCTCCCAGTTCCAGTCCTATGCAACCACTGATCTGCTTTCTGTCTCTAACTTTGCTTTTTCTGGATGTTTCACATACACCATAATAATACACTATGTAGTCTTTTGCTTCCGGCTTCTTTCACTCAATATGATTTTTGAGATGCATTCATGCTATAGCATCTAGAGTAGTTTGTTCCTTTTTATTGCTGAGTAGTATTCCACTGTGTGGTTACACCACATTTTGTTTCTTAATTCACTAGTTGATGGAGATTTAGGATTCCAGTTTTTGTCTATTTTGAATAATCTGCTATGAATGTTTATCTAGGTGTCTTTGTATAGATGTGTCTTTTCATTTCTCTTGGGTTGATTCCTAAGAGTAGAACGGCTGGATTGTGTGGTAAGTTTATGATTAACTTTTTTTTTTTTTTTTTTGAGACAGGCTCTCTCTCTGTTGCCCAGGCTAGAATGCAGCAGTGCAAACATAGCTCACTGCAGCCCTGACCTGCTGAACTCAAGCTATCCTCTTGCCTCAGCCTCCTGAATAGCTGAGACTACAGACACGCACCCCCATGCCCCCCCCCTAGTTTTTTTGTAGAGACAAGGTTTTGCCATTTTCTCAGGCTAGTCTTTAACTTTTTAAGAAATGGCCAGGGTGGGGCACGGTGGGTCATGTCTGTAATCCCAGCACTTCGGGAGGCTGAGGTGGGTAAATCACCTGAGGTCAGGAGTTCAATACCAGCCTGACCAATATGGTGAAATACCGCCTCTACTAAAAATACAAAAATTAGGGGCCGGGCGTGGTGGCTCACCCCTGTAATCCCAGCACTTTGAGAGGCCAAGATGGTCAGATCACTTGAGGTCGGGAGTTCGAGACCAGCCTGACTAACATGAAGAAACTCCGTTTCTACTAAAAATACAAAATTAGCTGGGTGTGGTGGTGCATGCCTGTAATCCCAGCTACTCAGGAAGCTGAGACAGGAGAACCCCTTGAATCCGGGAGGCGGAGGTTGCAGTGAGCTGAGATTTTGCCACCTCACTCCAGAGACAGAGCAAGAATCCATCTCAAAAACAAAAAACAAAAATTAACCAGGTGTGGTAGTGGGCGCCTGTAGTCCCAGCTACTCAGGAGGCTGAGACAGGAGAATTGCTTGAACCCCAGAGTTGGAGGTTGCAGTGAGCCAAGATCGAGCCACTGCACTCCAGCCTGGGCAACAAAGCGAGACTCTATCTCAAAAAATAAATAAATAAAAAGGAAAAAGAAACAACCAGACTGTTTTTCAAAGTGGCAGCACCATTTTACATCCCCACCAGCAATATATGAGGATTTGTCTCTCCATATCCTCACCAATACTTGCTTCTGTCTCTTTGATTATAAGCATCCTAGTGGGCATGTCATGGTATATCATTGTGGCTTTAATTCTCATTTATCTAATGACTATGTTGTATGTCTTTTCACGTAGTTATTAGCCATTCATATACATATTATTTGAAGAAACATCTATTCAAGTCTTTTGTCCATTTTTATTAGGATTGTTTGTCTATTTTTGATTTGTAAAAGTTCTTTATATATTTTGGATACCAACCAAAATATATACAACCATATATGGTTGTATATGATTTGCAACTATTTTTTCCCAGTCTTTGACTCGTTTTTTTTTTTTTTTTTTTTTTT